TTGAAAACTCCAGGGGAGCCATTGTGTTGCCCAGGTGTGTCTGCATTTCCTTGAGCACAGCTGAAATCACCCCGGGCACAGAAATGTCATCTTCCTGATGTGCAGGTTGGGTCGGACGCTGGAGGTTGGTTGGCAAAGGCACCTGGGGTAGGTGCTTCTTGGGGATCAGGTGGTTTCTTCCCGTTCCCCAGTCTACTGTTTTGTCAACATCAAGGTTGGGAAACTGGGGAGATGGGGTTAGCCATGAGAAGGCTGCCCGGGTGCTCGGAGTTGATGCCAAGGGAATCAGAAGGGCTTTTCCAAGTTCCCCGAACGGTGCTACCTCCCAGGGTCCAAGCCACAGAGTCCCTTTTCCGTGGTGGGTAGGACTCCCAGGCGCCATCTTTCTACGATTCACCCCAGAACCGTTCCGTACTCCCCATGCCCTCAGCTCTCTCTGTGAACTGGTCAGGAGGAGGCCCTGGTGCCCTTGGCCGAGCTTGGATCTGGCCCCGAGCCGCTCAGCCATGCTCTTGCATTCCTCACTTCTTCTCCTCACACCCCTCTGCTGCTCCAGCCCTCCGTTTATCTCAGAGTCCTGAAGATAGAGTAGGGCTCGCACGTGGGCATCTCTTTCGAGCTACCGGGACAGGTCGGGGGGACGTTGTGGCATCGTAAACCTCCACCAACAGCAGTGACCACCGGTGCGGCATTTCAGAGTTGACGGCTCTCCTGTATTTCTCCCGGGGCTGATTATACTCTGACATTGACAGAGTAGCAAGAATAAACTTTTCGTCTTGCCCATTTGGGCTTAGAACCCGATCGACGTGCACCATTCGTGTCCTGCTTTACAGCTGTCGTGTGTCATGTCACTTAACCCTCACCGTGGCCTGGGCAGATCCTGCGCTGGTCATATCCTCGCATTAGCAGGAAGCCATCGGACACGCAAGAAGGTCAGCCCGATACTCAACAGTGGCTGTGCCGGAACACCTCTGCCTTTGACTCTGGTCCAGAACTTGTTGACCCCTGGCATGTTTTTAATAAGCTGAGCTTGCCATCAGTAGTTGGCTGTTAATCATTTATCTCTCGTGGGGATAGACATTAAGGAATGTTTATAGTAATAGCTGGATGCCATTTAATCATTAGTGCTGTGTTCTTTCACAATTTCCCAGGCTTATATCTGATTATATGGGGGAGCTGATTTATCTATGAAGCGTATTCTGTTTGTTCTTTAGACCGTAACAGGCAAGGGGGGCTCCAGAAACCAGGTGAGTTATGTTCACAGACATGGACCAGCTTTGGGGAGGATTTCAAGAATTTCTAAGACTCTCGGAGAGCAGCTGGAATAAGGGAATTGAAAAGTCAGGGATTTGAACATCAATTTAGGTGAAGATTAAGTGAGAAAATGCACATAAAGTGCTTAGTGTGGGGTTTGATGAATGCTGCTATAAAATGAAATAGATAATGAGTGATCATGGCTAAGGCAATTATTCCAATGGCTGATAACCCAGTTATCTCCTTCTGCCTTCCTTCCTCTCTGTCTCTCTCCTTCTCTCTCCTCCTCACTCTCTCTCAAAGCTGCTCTATCTTCCACATTCCTTTCAGGATGTTGTTTTAGGGTTAGCTTTAGCTCCATGCCAAAGTCAGCAGAGAATTAACCCTGGAAATAAAGAATAAAGCCCTAGCCAAATATTGCTCAATCAAAACGTGGGGGGAATAGGAAGTATGTGGCATTTCCTGTTCAGAGCTGTGAGCCAGGTGCTGGTTGGCACCACTGGGCTCGTGTGGCAGGCTGAATAGCAGCACCTGCAGGCATTTCAAGGGAGGTGACCCCCAGCTTTAGGAGAACAAGTCCACCTGGGCCGTCCGCTGACATTCTGCGGTCTACGGATGTCAACAGCGCCTTTTCTTTGCCTCTGTCTTTCCAGCCAACCCAGGCTCGCGAGTGAGGATTTGACCAGAAGCTGTCTGGGCTCAGACCCACCCTCTGTGACAGGTTGGGTGGGTAAAGATACTTCCCTAAGGCTTGCTTACTTTATTTCTAACATGGCTGGCCCTAGCGACAGACACATGGCGACCGCGAAGGTTTTCTTATCGGCAGCGAGGTGATCTTCTAAACATTTAACCCCAGGGACAACCTAGGTGGAGGGCAATCGGATTGCCAGGAACAGAGTCCTGGGGCTCGGTTTTGGTAGACGTTAACTCCGTAGCTGCTGGGTTGTGGCAGGTGGGCACTCTGGGGGCTTGGGATGTGGCTGTTCACCAATGGCTGCGGTCGTTTGACCTTCTAAGAACTGGCATGGCCACACGAGTGGACGCCAGAGTGTTAGACTCGAACAGCAGCACGTTTTGTATTGTTACCGCGGACCGAAAAGATAGGGAGCTGGCAAGTTTGGAACTTCACGCAGAGCGGATATCGGTGTTATATTTATTCACGATTCCATTTAAGCCTTAGAGGATTCTTTTGAAGCAGTTTAGGGCTCTCTGCTCGCATGCCCAATGGTTCCCCCTCTCGTAACCAGTTCTAAGACACCATCTCAGAATGTTGTTCCGTGAGGCCCTTACAAATGAAATGCCTCGTCCGTGCTCCACAGGGGCCATTTGCTGGGAGTCCGGGGATGATGATGATGCCATTTAGCATTTACTATGTGCTTCATACACATTGAGTCATTTAATCTTCACAAACGCCCGATGAGATGTGTCCTGTTACTATTCGTTACTTGACATGTAGAAACAGAGGCCCAGAGAGGTTAAGTGACTTTCCCCAAGTCACACAGCTAGTAAGCTATTGAGCTGGGATTTGAACTCATGGCTCCATATTGCCTGGGGTGCAAGCTGTCTGCCTTTGGCCTTGTGCTGGGCAGGTGGGCACAGAATCTCACCTTCAAGGCTCACCTCCGCTTGACTGACTGTTCCTTCTGAGAACTCAGAATCACTTCCTTCTGTGCATGGGAAGGAGGAAAGGCATTCTAGGATCAGGGACAGTCCAGGGAACACAAGAATGGCCTGGAAATGGAGGTCCAGTGGGCTGGACTGTCCCTGAGCATGTGCTGAGTGTGTGGCCCTCCTCAGGGGAGGGCCTCGGATGTCACACTCGAGTGTTGACTATGGAAGCCTGCCAACCAACATCCTCGTCAGACCGGCTCAGATGACATCTGGATCGCAGAGCCCGTCATCCTATAAGGACTGGGTATTTTTCCAGAATTGTATTGTTTATGTCTCCTTGGCTACCCAACACCTTAAGGACTCCATCCAAACAGAAACATTTTTTTTAAACTTAAAGCAACTTTTAAAACTTGCTTTTCTAGTTATAGAAAAAAAATTTTTTTTCAGTGTCAAAAATCGGAGAAGTCTAGGAAAACACACCAGATAAAAATGGGCTAAAAGACAGCGTCCAAGGGGAAACTGCTGTCTCTCTTGCCGCCTCCAGGGAGTCTATTTTCTCTGTACATAAATATGTGATTTGTCCTCTGCTCCCCTCTGCGGCCCAGTCCCCTCCTGCTCTCCTGTCCTGTGCTGGGCCAGGCCGCTCGCCTTCCGTGTGCCCCAGGAACAGACCGTAGAGTCTCCTAGAGTGCAGGCTCCATCAGGGCAGGCCAAAGTCTGTCTTGCTTTTACCTAGGCATTAGGGGCTTAATGAATACCTGCTGAATGAACAACGTGATGTACAAATATTTTGAAACCTTGAATTTCATATTAAAAAACGCACGGGCACAGTTTAAGTACATACGTCCTTTAAGAGCACGCGTCTATTCCTAAGTACATCTAGTTTCAACGTTAACTGGTGGATAGACTTTAATATATCTTCCTCTGTTTGTCAAGGAAGATTATGAGCATTTTCCCATGACATTAAATATTCTTTTTTAAAATTTTTAAACCTTTAAGACAATTTTTTTAGGGGTGCCTGGGTGGCTCAGTCGGTTAAGCGCCCGACTCTCGGTTTCAGCTCAGGTCACGATCTCGCGTTTTGTGGGGTCGAATCCCACATCAGGCTCTAAGCTGACAGCATGGAGCCTGCTTGGGTTTCTCTCTCCCTCTCCCACTTGTGCTGTCTCTGTCTCTCTCTCAAAATAAGTAAATAAACTTAAAACAATTTTTTAAAGAGTTTATTTATTTTTGAGAGCAAAACAGAGCTCGAGCAGGGGAGGAGCAGAGAGAGAGGGAGACACAGAATCCGAAGCAGGCTCCAGGCTCTGAGCTGTCAGCACAGAGCCCGACGCGGGGCTCGAACCCATGAGCTGTGAGATCGTGACCTGAGCCGAAATCAAGAGTTGGACGCGTAACCGACTGAGCCACCCAGGCACCCTGACATGAAATGTTCTTTAACACAGTTTTTAATCGCTACATGAGTTTCCATATACGGATGTACCATAACTTATTTAAACTTCCCTGCTGGATTTTTTTTTTCTCTTGTGAATACCATTTTTTAACATGAAAAATGCTGTAGTGAAGGTCTCAGGCTGGACTCTTTGTGCACGTTCTTTATCGCTGCTTTAGGATAACTTTTTATAGATGGAGTAGTTGGCCCAAAGGGCCTAAATATTTTTATGCCTCTAGAAACCTATTTCCAAACTCCAGGAAAGCTGCATAGTTTTCAAGGTCTGTCCTGCCAGTGATTCTGTTACAATTTTGGTGAACTGTTTGCAATTTGACAGGGGAGATTGGCACTTGGTTTTGATTTACACTGCTTTTATTTTCCCATCTTGGGAACAGAAACTTTGGTATTTCCAAGATGTGCCCTACCATGAGAATGGCTGTCTGAATGAGAATGTTCTGGGGAGGGGCCTGTATCCAATAAGCAATGTGGCAAGTGTGGAAAACACGGAGGTAGTTCAACACAACCATCTCACAGATGGAGACACAGAGTCCAGAGAGGAGCACAGAGCTGCTTGGGTCTCTGGGGGAGCCGGGCACCCCCGTCCTGGTGTCCTCACCATGCCCCCTCCTCTGGGCCGCCTCCCCTAATTACCCGTCAGTGACAGCAAGCGCCTAATGACTTCTTCCTTTTTTCTCTTTTTCAGGAACAAGGAAATCCAGTCCAAAATCTGACAAATAAGCCATGACGGTCAGCGAACAGGACTCCACAGATTCCAAAGAAAGTGATTCGGTGAAAGAGACATTGGTCAGTCCTGGTTTCCTTATCTGTCCTTGTTCTGGTGACTCTGGGGCAGTCCCTCCTGGCCCCCTCGCTGCTTCCAGGGAGATGTAGGTTGCGGCGAGGTCAGGCAGAGAAGAGACAGCAGGGGATAAAAGCAAAGGCATATGGCAGGTTGCCTTGTGAACCACAAAGTATGTGTCGTGAGGCACAGGCCACTGATGGCATTGTACTTCGGCTGATGATAACATATCACCTTCTGGTGGCCTTCAGGACTTGTTGTGGGGGGTGGGGGTGAGTCTTCGCTCCAAAAGTCATTTTGCAACAGGGGGATACCGATGTGTGAAAGCAATGATATTGATGTCCTTAGGACACACTGAAACTCCCCCCTTATCCCGCCACGAGGCTCAGTCCTCTGTCCCTCCTCCAGGATGTCCTGGGCATCTAGAGACACTCTCACTGCTCAGGAGTCCTTGGATAGTTATTTATTTACTTATTTAAATATTTTTTATTTAATTTTTTTATTTTGAGAGAGAGCATGAGCACACAAGGAGGGGAGGGGCAGAGAGAGAGAGAGAGAGAGAGAGAGAGAGAATCCCAAGCAGGTTCCATGCTGTCAGAGCAGAGCCTGACAGGGGGGCTCAAATCCATAGACTGTGAGATCACAACCTGAGCCAAAATCAAGAGTCAGACACTTAACCCACCGAGCCACCCAGACTCCCCAATATATGTCCATATTTTCAATAAACCTTATTTAGCAGGAAAAGATCCACACAGGTGTATTTACCAAGCTGCCAGGGAAGTGTGGAATTGGCAGACTGAGAGTGATTGTCCCCACCCATAGGGGTGAAATGGAGGTTCGAGGAGGCCCAGCCACCTCCTCAGGTCATCCGGGGACATGGCGGAGTCACGTTAAATAAACAGCGATTCCCTCCACGCGGACACTATATTTTTCTCGGTGCTCATATTAGGTTGAGTCGAGGCTCTGCTGTCTAGACATTTGGTGTAATGAACGAAGAGCTGTAGTCATCTCAATCATTCTGCTTAAATGATATTCAATAGAAAACGCCCTCTTTTTTCCTTTCCTGCCCTGTCCTGGAAGAAAATGTTCATCTTGTCCAAGCTGACTTTCTAGCTTCAGGATACCATCCAGAGGACAGTTTGAGTTCAGTGCCAGAAGTATCTACCGGGTCCCAGCCCTGAGCCAGGTGGGAAGAAAACTGGGAATGCTAAGAGGCTCAGGACACTGGATTAGCCTGCTCAGGCCGTCATGACAAAGTACCACAGGCTGGTGGCCTAAGCAACAGTGATACACGTTTTTCACATCTGGAGGCTGGAAGTCCAAGATCAAGGACATCAGAAGGGTTCATGCCTTCTGGGGCCTCTCTCCTTGGTTTGAAGATGGCTGTCTTCCCCCCGTGTCCTCACATGGACTTTCCTCTATGTGTGTCTCTGTCCTAAGCCCTTCTTGTAAAAACACTGGTCGTATCAGATTAGGGTCTACGTTAGTGACCTGACTTCACCTCACTCTCCTCTTCAAAGAACCTGTCCCCAAATACGGTCCATTCTGAGGTGGTGGGGGGTTGACTCTTCACCATATGAATTGAGGGGGGGCACAGGTCACTCAATACCAGACACACACACAATGCCTGCCCTTGGTGAGCTCCTGTCCAGAGGGAAAGGCACACATGAGAATAGACACTTATAAGTACGGGCGGTCATAGACAGTAAAGCTGTGAGCAGCTTATGGAACACAGAGGGGCAGAGAGAGGCCCAGAGAAGATTCTGGGAGGAGGTGGTCAGGGGACTGAGTACTGAAGGATGAGCAAATTAAGGGTCCTCAGAGGAGAAGCCTGAGCAAGGGCCAGGAGAACCGCCACGAGGAGATACTCCACAAATATTGGTGAATGGGTGTGTGCATGCCGGAACAGGTGTCAGAAGAGGGTGATGGTGCCCCAGCCTCAGAACACCTGGGAACACGTGTCTAATGACCACATCCTTAATTGAGTTCATCTTCTCAGGCTCTGCCGGGAAGCATGGGGCCACAGGCCGTGCAAATGCAGGGATGGCACCAGCTCTCCCCAACTCCACTGGTGATATCGTGGGTGTGAACACACCTGGCCAAGTGTAGACATGTTCCATGAGGGGCAGGAGGAGGGTGCTCCGGTAATCAGGAGCCCCGGTTAACTGCCTTCCGGTCCAGGAATCTACCACACTTCATGTTCACCACCAAGAGACCAAACTCGAGCACTAGAACAGTCCTTAGCAATTGTCCAGTGGCGTCAAAATGGCCCCAGACCTCCCCTTCTACCGCTGAGGACACTGATTCCCTAGAGGGGGGCAAATCTTTGTCCACAGAGTTTGCGTGATGGCACTGACTTAGAAAGGGATGAGAACATTTGGTCCAGATAGAACACATTATCCGGGGACAAGGTGATCTAAAAAATAATGAGTGTTCGTTGTATCGTATGCTGGGTGTTGTAGATGCCACGATTCTAGGTGTTTTTCCAGTATAAACTCACGGAATCTTCCACAGGTCTATGAGGTGGTGGCACTGTTATCATGCCCATGCTACACACGAGGACATGATGCCACAGAGAGGTCAAGTGACTCGTGCAAGAGCTCACAGCCTAAGTGGCTGAGCGGAGGCTCAAACCCAGGCGGTTTTGAACCGCTAAGCTGGGGCAAAGGGAGGGGGCCGCTCCTATCAGCTTCACCAAGCGTTTCCAGAAATCAGAGCCGTTCACTGGGTCACCCTGAAAAGCCCCGGGGGGCTGGGATCACTTACCTGCCTGAAGGAAGGGGGTGCAGTTGACTTGAAGGCCAGGCTCTCGGCATAGCTGGAGCCCGGACACTGCTGTGTGACTTTGGCCAAGTCGCTGCTCACCTCTGGGCTGGTTTGCCGGCTGGCCGGGGAGGGAATTAATGGACAGCTACCTCCACCAATAAGAGGAGCTCTTCAGGCCAAGCGCTGCCTCCAGACTGTGGGACAGAAAGGACAGTGAAGTCTGCACAAGCCTTGCTGTGTGGCTGGACAGATGTGCGTCCGGTCTTCGGTTCTGGGACAGGTGCAGGGCTGGGGCCGGGGCGGCCCCCGGCAGTTGGTCTCTTTCCACCCCTGGGATTTGCATCCCCTCTGGTTTCTACCCTCAGAGCTCAATTTCAGCAGGTTTTGGGGCAGCAAAGTTGAGGCAGGAGAGGCGTGCAAGGACAGCTTTGAGGGGGGCCTCAAGTCCACACCCAGGGTACCTGCTGGCCGGTGGACAATGCTTGCTGACTTTGGAAGCCTTCATAGCGCAGGGGCGTCCCCGACACCAGCGACCACCCCCCCTTCCTCCTACTTTGTGTACATTTGTGTTGACCTCCTGGAGCCTGGGGCCTACTGAGTTTTCAACCCCAGTGAGGAAGCACAGAACAATTTCCAAGGGGGGGTGGGGGTGGGGAGAGGGCACCTGATTCAGATTGAGTTTTAGCAAGATCAGATGAGACCGCCTGTTACAGATGAAGCCAGGCAGGAAGGGCCTGAGCTAAAGAGGGGGTAGGGGAAGAAGAATGAGGGTGAGTACAACGTCCCCATCCGGACAGCACAGTGAGGGTCCTCACGACACAGGGAGGCAGCTGTCCCTTCGCTGCCCCTTCCCGTCCTTCAGGGCCCAGCCATCCTCAATTACCTTCCTCCCCCGCCTACTCCAGGGTGTCTGTGCCTGCAGGCCTTGGCTCGATGCCCTCCCACCCCACACCCTCTGCCTGCATGCTTCCCAGGGCTACTCAGAAATCACCTCTTCCGGAAAGTCTTCCGTGATCCAGCCCCAGTTTCAATGCCCGTGTTCCACTACACCTAGTTTCTTTGCTTCCCGTCTCTCTTTGCGGACTTGAGGCCTCCCTGGCCTCCTAGGGGTTCTGAATTCCCCAGTCAGGCCCTTGCCCACCGGCCTGTGCCTCTGCTCTCTGCCTCTGGGTGCAGATGGCCGAGGCAAGCTGTCCTAAACCTGTCACGATTAAAGGTACACTTCTCCGACATCCAGGGCAAGTTGGCCACGTGGTGAACAAATTCTCATGACGTCTGGTGTGCATGAGAGGTCTTGCCTCCTTAATGCTTTCCCTGAGCTGAGCCAGCCTGGGGCGGGCACGTGGGAGGTATTCCCCGGGCCAATGCTGAATGAGAAGCATAGAGGAATGACCGACTGGCAGGTTCTTTTTCTTCCAAACCCAGAGCCTCCCCATTTGTGCCCGAGCTAAGGGCGGCCATGCCTATGTCCAGCACGCTGGCCGGGGCTGTGTGTTTTCTACCTGAGCCTCAGAGGAACTGCAGGGCAGTCCAGGCGGGATCGGTCTTCCGTGTTGCCCTCGTAAACGCAGCAGCTCAGAGGAGCCAAGTGACCAGGTTAAGGCCACGCAGTTAGAGAGGCAGGGTGGGGACCCCAGCCGGCTTTCCCTGCCGTCGGTGACCTGGCGTTCTGTGCCGATCCTCGGAGAGGCGCCCCGGCTTTATGGCCAGCGCTCCCCTCCCGGCTCGCTGGCCTCGTTGGCCAGGAAAATGAAAGGTGCTGATGCCAAAGGAAAAATCCATACCCCGGGTGGTGGTTCCCGAGAAGGCCAGTTTCCCTCCAGGATTCCTCGGTGCTGCTATGACAGCAGGGGGGAAAGCGCACGGTGCCCGTTTCCTGTTCAGACAAGACAGAGCGGCCGCGTTTCCTGCCAGGCCCCCGCCCCCTCGTGGACTCTGCCTCCTGCACCGAGATGCCCCGGGATGGCCTGCGGGAGCATGGACTCCCGGGCCTGGGCTCCCCTGACGCGCAGCCCCGGCCATCCGGGGGCCGCCGAGTGTGGCCGCGCCCTGAGAGGGACACCGGGCGGGAGGACCAGAAAGGTAAACGCAGAAAGCGGCCTCAGGACCTGCCAGGGGGTGGGAAGGCCCAGCGTGGGCGGCTGCGGCTGCCTCCGCCGCCTGGGGCCCTGGGTCACGGAAGCCTGCTGTGAGAGCCGGCACCCCAGTCCCCGTGACCTTGGCCATGGAGTTCCAGCTCTGGCAACGTGGCCGTGCTCGTGAACAGCCTGGCAGGTGCTGGGTGGTGTCCCCTTTTCCATCCCCACACCCACAGCAGGTACCTCTGTCCCCCGGGGCCGCTGGTGAGAGGGGGTGGGCACGGGCTGGCCAAGCAGCGGCGGGGGCTCCAACGAGAGACACCCACCTGCCTTTCTCTAGCTTCTGATGGGTACAGACAAGGGGACAGGGCAAGGGGGTCCAGGAAGAGAAGGTGTCCGGGGCGGGCCAGGGAGTCAGGCAGCGTGACATGTGAGCTGAGACCCAGAAGATTAAGTGCGAAGATAAAAGACCGCGGAAAGAGATAAAAGATCTCTTTCAGTTCAGGCTCTTCTTCCTGTAGAAACCCATTCTGACCCCACACCTGGCAATGTCCGCCCCTGTGGCTTATAAACCCTTTTTCTCCCCTCCGTCCTCTCACTGGCACTTACTGAATACCTTCTCTGCCTCAGGCTCGGTGCCTGGAAGCAAGACCCCCTCCCCTCAGAAAGTAAGACCCTTGGGCACCGCCCCGACTCTGCTGCTAATGCTCACAGGCACCTGCCACAGGACAGGAGAGGCCTTGTCTGCCTTAATTAACTCTTTTCTTCAGCATAACAGCCTGTGAGGTGGGGTCTATTATCATCCCTGTTTTCAGATAAGCACACTGAGTCACAGAGCAGTTATGCCACTGGCCCAAGGTTACAGTCATTAAGTGGCAGAGCTGGGGGTAGGACAGAGTTGAACCAAAGAGGGGGTGGAGTTTTCATTCAGAGGAGAAGGCGTTGGGAAAGGGTCGCAGGTGCCAAAGTCTCCAGAAGGGGAATTTCGGGCACGTGTATCTGCACGGGCAGGGCCAAGAGGCAGCTTGGCACCCAATTCGAACAACAGCCGTTCTGTATGGCGGGGCCAGAGGCAAAGTAAACGAGTAAGCGGCCTTTCCGAACGCTCCCTGTGTGCGCGCGACATTCTAAACATCCTCATCCGGCAGCCCATTGATTCCTCAACAACGCTATGTGGCCAGTGTTGTTATTAGATCCGTTTTACAGCTGGGCAAGATGAGACCCAGGGAGGTGAAGAAAGCGGCTCAGGTTCCCACAGCTGACTGGTAGAGCCGTCCATCACCGCGTCCCCTGCTAGAGGAGACCACTGACGTGGGCGGATCCGGGAGTTGGCTATCGGGGTCCAGCTCTCTCCTCCAGACAGTATTTGACTGACACAGTTCCCTGAACTGTGGACCTTGTCTGTTTTGTTTCCCGCTGTATCTCTAGAGCTTTATCAGGGCCTGGCCTGATACATGCGCACATTTTATATGATAACAGAGAAGGTGCCTTCCAAGAGCACCTGGGTCCCCTCCATCCGGAGAGTGGCCCACATTCCGCTGGCCAGCCTCGGATGGGAACCCTTTCTGCCTCCAGCCCCTGCCAGCTGGTCAGCTCTGGCCAGGGGGTTCAGATGTTTCTCCTGCATGGTCCTGTCCTGACTGTGACCACGCTCGGACGAAGGACAGGGTCACATGGGGGCAGATGCCCTGTTCTCCAGGCTGAGCCCTGTATCTCTCTGCACGTCCTTGTCCTGCGGTGCTCATGGTGGCCTGGAGATTGACAGCTCAGCCTGGAAGGCCGTGTGCAGTGGTGTGCATGCGTGCATGTGAACGTGTGTGCACCTGTGCAGCTGTGAGCAGCCTCAGGCCCCTAGACACTGTTCCCAGATGACGAGGCACTGGGGGACAGGCAGTGCGGTGCAGCCGATGACTGCATGGGCTCCAGCCCCCATCCCAGACAGCACCACGGACGTCTCGGCGCGTCTCTTTCCCCACCTATCAAATCGGGATGAAATAGTACTGATCTGAGCGTTCCGTGAGATAATACCCTGAAAGGGCTCAGCTCAATGCCTGGCCCATACCTCTTGTAAGTGCCAGCTGCTACCATTGGCGGCTAAGTCTGGCTTTGCTTTTTGCTCCTATGTGGTCCAGAAAGTGGCCACATTCAGCTAAAATAATAGTGTGTGGCTGCTTACAGAGCACCTGCTAAGGACTGTGGGTCTGTGAGTCACAGGTCTGTGGCAGCAGGCAGAAGCAAACTGAACTCCGTGGGCTGACCGCATTCCCCCAGTGTCCGCCTGCGCAGTGGTCGTGGACAGTGATCCCACCTGTCAGCGGGTTCCGGGAACTCGGGCAATTCTCTAGGGCCCCTTCCCCAGACAAGGGGACAGCCCAGGTGCGTCCTGTGGGCCCCTAGCTCTGTGCCCAACGGCCAGATCTGACATGCTGTCCTCTCCTTTCCAGGACTGGTCCTGCTGGCTCATCGTGGCCTCTCTGGTGGGCGCCTTCGGCTCCTCCTTCCTCTATGGGTACAACCTGTCGGTGGTGAACGCCCCAACTCTGGTGAGTGCCCCGCGGTTGCGGGATGCGCCCGGCAGAGGGCGCTGCGGCCACGCGGAAAACTTCGGGAGTGTTCCCAGGCTGGTTCTGTGCCAGCCCTTTGCGGGACACTGGGACCTAGGAGAGGGAGAGAGAGGAGTGAGACCAGCCTCTGCCCTCAAGGGGAGGAGTTAGGGGAGGATGGGAGGTACAGAAACAGACAATGGTGACAATGTGGAGGGTTCAGTTCCCTGCCTTGGAGGGTCCTGGGAGAGTGCAAGGCAAGGACAGGGGTCTCCGGAGTTCCCAGGGGCCAGTGCTTGAGGATCTTATCCTCGGCACAGAGCCACGGAGAGACCTTATGCACAAACATTTTCTTGATCTGTTCTTTTTGGGTTTATGGCTTTACATTACCGCTAGTGGTCATTCGGGTGTCTGTTTTGTCTGGCTTTTGTTTCCGTCTGGAATCAAGTCGTTAGGTTATATCAATCAAGAAGAGTCTGTAAAGCAACCAAAGGTGTTTATCTGGGGTCGTAGGACTTGCAGCATGGGAGACAGAGAGGGCGGAAATGGACCTTGTGTTCAGAATTGCAGGTGGAGTGGGCAGGCTTCTAAAGGCAGAACCCACAAGGTTACCAAACTTCTTCTGAAGGAATGATGATCGGTGCTGAGGGAGTTATACTGAGCACTGGATGCAGGATTGACTAGGTAGCTAACAGGTGTTACATTGTCTCTATTTCAGTCCTCAGTAGAGGAGGCCTTCCAAGAGCTGGCCACGTTGTAATTGCCACAAGCCAAGAGTTCATGGTGTTCCCAGAATTGAAACAGGAGCCCCTGCATGGGTCCTGCTTCCTCAGTGTCCTCCCATCCCCCTTCTGAGTGAGGGTCTTAGCAATACTTACTTCACTTTTGGAGTTTCCTTTTATAGGTGCAATCCCCAGGCCCTCCTAACACCTCCCTGCTGGTTTGCAGGTTCAGATTTGGTTCCGCCTACCTAGGCTCTTAGGTAGCTCTCCATGCCAGGGGGTGCTGGCTTCTGCTTGTCATACCTGCACCTTCGTCCACCTTACCCTGCAATGGCGAGGTAGATCAAGGCTACCTGGAGGCTTTCTGGAGGAAGTGATGCCTCAGCTTCACCTTAAAGGTAAAACAAAGTCATGGAGGCTTGCCATTTGTGACATGTTTGCAAGAATGCAGGCGTGATGCAGTTGGAACGCAGAATGCCTTTTGGGGAGCACAGGGCAGGAGCTAAAGGGGCAAATGGAAGCCAGGCTGTGGACCTTTCTGAAGGCTTTTCGGGCCTCGTTTGGAGCCCAGCATCCCCATGTGCAAACCACAAGGGAGGCTGGACCAGGGGGTCCCAAAAAGTTCCCAGGAGCTCTGAACTTGGCAGAATTGCCTTTTAAAAATTCAGATGTCCTTCGACAGTCCTTCAGAGGTCTTTTATAGCTGGTTTGTCCAAATTAGGAGACAAAAAAAAAAAAATCAGTGCTATATTCGTGACAGAAATATGGAAAAATAATGACAACCGTAAAATCCAGATGTAGGTGTTTCTGTTCTATTCCCTTACTTTCCTGTGCATTTGGAAAGTTTTACAGCAGAATGTCCAAAATAAGTACATCATTACATCTTTGCAAATGCATCTATATATGTGAAAGGAGAGGGAAGTTTCTAAATCTTGCTCCTGAGCCCTGTTCTGTTCAATGTTGTCACCAGTTATTTAGACAATAATCTGGAAAGGATGTCTACACATTTCTCGGTTGATGTGCTGAGAGGAATAATGACTGTATTTGAAAATGCAGTGTGTCAGAATCGAGTGCCAGGACAGCTCTAGTTTTTGTTGAGTTTGTTTCGTTTTGTTTGAAACCCTTCTACGTTTTGGGACTCTGTGTAAGTTCATTTGGAAAATGGGCTCTGATGCTAAGACCCATTTGAAAGCCAGGGACCTAGATGGCCTCCCCAAACTCTTACTGAAGCCAGTGGCTTTGATTTCGTCGTTGTGACCTTGTCCTGACACAAGGATCTGATTTGTCCATATTTGCCTATAAAAGAATATTGGAGGGGCGCCTGGGTGGCTCAGTCGGTTAAGCATCTGACTCTTGATTTCGGCTCAGATCACAATCTCCCAGTATGTGGGTTCAAGACCCACTCCAGGCTCTGTGCTGTGTGGAGCCTGCTTGGGATTTTCTGTCTGTCTCTCTCTCTTTCTCTCTCTCCCTCTCTGCCCCACCCCGGCTCGCTCTCTCTTCTGTCTCTCAAAATAAATAAATAAACATTAAAACAAGAAGATTGGAAATTTACACTCTTGCCTCATCTTGACAGTTCAGCAGAAACTCCAGCAGAGGGTGGAGAACCTTTGCACTCATGGTTTGTGGACCAAAAAGCCATGTGAAACTAGAACCCTGAATGAAATGATGTGGATGGAAAAACAGAAGTTCAAGCCATGACTGTGGGAACAGGAGGAAGGAGCAATTCGGTCATTTAAAACTTGTTTTCGATTAAGAAACTATTTTTTTAGATCAGTTTGAAAGCAGTTCACAGCAAAATTGTGCGGGAAGTACAGGGAACCACTCCCCCCTCCGTATCCCTCACTCCCAAAAGCTTCCCCCGCTATCAGTTTCCTCCAGGTCCTTTCATGGCTCGAAAGCTCCTTTGTTCTTTACAGCTGAATAATATTCAATACATTAATGCATTGTATTAATACAGTGTAATAACACCTTGTCTGCATGTACCGGTTTATTGAGCCACTCACCTGCTGAAGGACATCTTGACTGCATCTAAGTTTTGGCAACTATGAACAAAGTTGCTGTAAACATCCATGTGCGGGTTTTTGTGTAGACATAAGTTCTCAGTTCATTTGTGTAAATACCAAGAAGCACCATTGCTGAATCAAAGAGGGAGAGTACATTTAGTTTTGCAATAAACAGACAAAACATCGTCCTGAGTGGCTGTCCTGTTTTTCATTCCCAGAAGCAATGAGCAAAATTTCCTATTGCCTCCCATTCTCACCAGCATTTGATGTTGTTAGTATTTTGGATTTGGGATGTTCTATAGGTGAGTACTGGTATCTCGTTTCCATTGCAATTCCCTAATGACATATGATGTTGGATACCTTTTCATATGTTTTTGGGAAAGATAGAAACATCTTTTCAAATGTTCACTTGCCGTCAATAAATCTTCTTTGGTGAGGTTTCTGTTCACATCTTTTGCCCATCCTTTAATCAGATCGTTTGTGTTGTTTTGTTTGAGTTTTAAGAGTTCTTCGTATATTTTTAGATTACAGATCTTTATCAGATGTATCTTTGCAAATATTTTCTCCAGGTCTGTGGCATATCTTCTCATTCTCTTGACATTGCCTTTCCCAGAGCAGAAGTTTTTAATTTAATTGAAGCCCAGATTATCAATGATTTCTTTCACAGATCGTGTCTTCGGTATTATATCTAAAGAGTCATCACCATAGGGCACCTGGTTGGCTCAGTTGGTTAAGTGCTGACTGTGGTTCAAGTCATGATCTCACGGTTCATGGGTTTGAGCCCTGCATCAGGCCCTGTGCTGACAGCTCATAGCCTGGAGACTGCTTTGGATTCTGTGTCTTTCTGCCCCTCCCTTGCTCATGCTTTCTTTCTCTCAAAAATAAATAAACATTAAAAAAAAAAGTCACCACACCCAAGGTCATCGAGATTTTCTCCTGTTTTTTTTTTTTAGGAATTTTATAGTTTTGTGTTTTACATTTATGTCTGTGAACCAATTTGAGTTAATTTTTGTGAAAGGTACAAAGTCTGTGTCTAGATTTTTTTTTCTGATATGTGCATATCTATTGTTCCAGTACCATTTGTTGAAAAGACCATCTTTGCTCTATAGTATTGCCTTGGCTCTTTTGCAAAGATCAGTTCACTGTATTAATGTGGGTCTGTTTCTGGGTTCTCTGTTCTATTCTATTGATCTATTTGTCTGTTTTTTCACAAATACCATGCTGTCTTGATTATTGTAGCTTTATCGTAAGTCAAAGTGAGATAGTGTCAGTCCTCCAACTGTGTTCTCCTTCAGTGTTAGGAGTTGATTATTCTGGGTCTTTTGTTTCCCCATATAAACTTTAGAAATTAGTTTGTAGATTTCCACAAAATAACTTGCTGAGATTTTGATTGGGATGGTATTGCATCTATAGATGAAGTCAGGAAGAATGAACATCTTGACAATATTGAGTCTCCCTATCCATGAACATGGGATATCTCCCCATTTAATTAGTTCCTATTTGATATCTTTCATCAGAGTCTTTATTTTTGATATAGATGTTACATAACTTGTGAGATTTATACCTAAGTATTTCATTTTCTTTAATACTAATGTAAATGGTAATATTTTAAATTTAAAATGGCATTTTTTTTTCATTGCTGGTATATAGGAAAGCAATTGGCTTTCATATATTAATCTTGTTATCTTGCAACTGTGCTATCATCAATCACTTCTTAGTTCCAGATTTTTTTTGGTCAATTTTTTCAAATTTTCTACACAGATGACCATGTCATCTGTGAAATAGACAGTTTTATTTCTTCTTTTTCAATATGTGTATCTTTTATTTCCTCTTGTTGTCTTATTGCATTAGCTAGGACTTCCAGTATGATGCTTACTTTGGATTTAATCTGCTTTTCTTTTTCTAGTCTCCTATAATGGAAACTTATTGATTTTAAATCTCCCATCTTTTCTAATATATTCATTCAATGCTATAAATTTTCTCCTAAGCACTGCTTTTGATGCAACCCACAAATTTTGATGAGTTGTATTTTCATTTTCATTTAGATCAAGTTATTTTAAAGTTTCTCTTGAGATTTCTTCTTTGATCCATGTGTTATTAAGAAGGGTGTTGTGCAATCTTCAAGTGTTTGGGAGATTTTCCAGCATATTCTGTTATTGATTTCTAGTTTAATACCATTATGGTCTGAGACCAGACACTGTATGATTAGATTCTCTTAAATTTGATAAGGTGTGTTTTATGGCCCAGAATGTGGTCTATCTTGCTGAATGTC